AAATACTGTGATATTAGATTTGAATTATATTTGATACTCTTCATCTTCTATTTGGTATTTTTCTTTTGTTTGGCTCAATTATTTAGTTATGTTGCATTAGAAATTTATTTTGCATCTATCATTATATATTAAGAGAGAAACTAATAAAGGAAAATCATTTTATATACTAAATTTTTATATAATCCTTAATTTGAGGTACTTTTGATCACATGTTAAATTTTATTAAATGTAATATTTTTAATTAATTTTACATAAATTTTTATGTTGAATTTAATTAAAATAAAATATAAAATATAATTTTTATACTCAATCTATAAAAAAAATTATAAATCTAATATAAAAATTTGTGCAAAATTAATTATAGATTCAGTAATTAATCAAATTTAACATGTGGTCAAGGGTACATATTAGACAAACCCAATTATAAAAGTGTTTTTTTATCTTATATCCTTAAAATACAGTTTAAGTAAGTAATTAATGTATTTTTTATTATTAAGTTACATAAAAAATAAAATTTGATTTTAATTTTAATAATTAAGTAATTAAATTAAGACACGTGATGTTAATACAAAATCAATAAATTAATTTATCCCTCATCACTAAAATGATTAAAAGAAACACAAGCTCTATATCTTACACATTTCTCTTTTAGTGCTACATGCATTTAAATTTTTAAACTTCTAAGTACAACACCCTGATTAGCATTTCCTAAAGGACAATCGTTATAATTTTCAATATTAACCATCTCACATCCCCAAACTCCATTGTATATGTACTTTATAGTACAATATGGTACATCTCCTCAAAACTGCTCCTTACATTTCTCAAACCTTATAACCATTCATCATAATATAAACCATTCTTAAACTACAAAGACACCTACTATCGTAATATGTTTAAGACTCTAGTTGTACTTTCTTACCTTGAATCTACTTAATTCAACATATCCTTATGAGATAAAATCGCCTTCTCCTTTTAACAGTAAGGTAACACATTTTGGTAAAATTTTAAACCAACTTCATTAATAAGTTCTATGTTCCTGGTCCATTATCCAATTAATTAATCATTCTTATGCCTTTTTCTCCAATAAATTCATAACATAACCCTTTTTTGTTTTTTTTTTTTTACAACTATGAACCACCCAAACTTAGTTATATGGTCTAAACTTACAAAACGTAAAGGCAACACCAAAAGCCATTCCAATTCCATGTCTAAGATGTTTAAACCATGTAATTACAATTAACTCAACTCAATTGTTTGCAAATCCATCAAGGAAAACATTCTATATCCTAAAATCATAGTCACACTAGCAGAATCCCTCAATTTAATTCAACAAAATCTGTCTCCTCATAAGTCAATCTAGTTGATTAAATGATCTTAGACTGATATTAAAAGGT